TATATATATATATATACGGTTTTTATTGTTTTCAATTCAAAGACAGGAGAAAAAAGTGAAAAATCTGTTTAACTAATCATTAGTTAAGGGTAATGGTTAAAAAATTAATAAATTTTCTTTTTTTTATTAAAAAATCTTGTAAGGAATATATGTATGAGATATAATATCACATGTTTTGGATGAAAAAATTTCTCTTTTGATTTTTTAATTATCACTCAATTAAGCAGAATAGTTAGCAAAGCTGATTTGATTTCTCTTGTAAAGAGAGACACGATGAACCATGAGAAGTTGACAAGAAATTAAAAAATAAAATAAAATAGACAATTCTTGACATAAATTTATAATACACACTTGATTGTAAAGTACAATAATTTTTCTGCAAACAATTTTGTCCACTAACACTGGTCTCTAAGATTTGGTTTAACAATGATATCAGAGGCTTAATTATCTCTGAAGGGAACTTAATTACTCTCTTTCTCTACTTAAGTCCTTCCACCTCCAATGCACCCTAAAAATTCAAAATTACAATAATCCCATGCACTACACAAATTATGTATGAACTCACAATCACCAAATCAAAGTCCCTCACATTTACTAGAGAAGAACAAAGGTCACTGGCTAACTAAGCAAACATAGGTTTGCCTGATTATTAAAATGAAACAAACATGCATCTCACATATTGCATAAGAAGAACTATGACAAAGCAACAATTTGAGGAACACAAGTGATGAAATCATGAACCTAACAACATGAATTATTCTATGCACATTGGAAGCCAGGAGGAACAGTTTTTTGGCAAGCACTGAGTAGCAAACTGAGTGTGACAGGCACATTCAAGTTGATTCCTAGCACATTGGCCTTAATAGCAGTGCAAAGGCAAAGTGCAGCCTCCAAATCAACCAAGCCTTGAAGCAATGCACAGCACTTGCTTGAAGCAGGGGAGCCAACAACAACATTAACAAGCCCTAGAATGTCAGCACACACCCCTAGCTTCAATGTGTCTTTGGGGCACTTCCCTGATGGAGGAGGAGGAGAAGGAGAAGGCTTATTGCATGAGCCACATGCATTGGTGAATGTTGAGTAGGCAAGGAGAGAAAGCACCAAAATGGTGGCAATGAGCTTGTTGGAGGCCATTGCGAAGGTTGCAAATGAAAAAAAAAAAATCACACAAACTTTGCAATTGAATCACAATGGGGAGGACAAGGGAGGTGGACCAATTTAAAGGCAAATTGTGAGGTTGATCATGTGCAAATCTGATTGAGTGGAAGAGAGGATGATAATGTTACAGTTGGATGCTTTTGTATGCTTCTGAAATAGTGGGTTCTTTTCTTAGTAGTTGTTAAAGACTAGGACTACCTATAGAGTAAGAAGTGATTTAGATATTTTTCTCACTTACCCTTGTGTGGTTATTAATTGTTATTGTTTTTCTTTACTAGAGCCTGCAGTGATTTACGAGCCACTAAAGTAGAATCTAGAAAATCTAAATTGAGGACCAGAAGAAAAGTAGAGTGGGGGAGAAACTTCCAAGGAAATGTCCTCACCATGCAAGCTTGGTTCACAGGATGTCCTTGTAGTTAATTTTACTGCCAAAAAAGCTGTGTTCCTCACAAGTACTGCAGTAAAATATTTGTGGACTAGGCTCACTTTCTAAACCACTAGTTTTTGTTCTTATTCAGCAATGAAAAGGGCAGTTTTGGCTTATATACACAATGGAATGAAATAAAGTAAACAAAATTATTTTTTGAAGATTATAATTTAGAGGTGAAATATCCATAATCAAAATGAAACTGAATTTATTCTTTTTAAATAAGGTCTCGTGTTTTGATCCTGTTAATAAAAAATATAAATGAAAAAAATATTTCATTAAAAGTGATATTTTTTTTTTTATAGAAATTAATCATTTCGCAATTTCCACTAATAACATTAAAAAAAAGTGTGTAGAATACTTGCAATGTAGGATGAATAAATTCTGGTAAGAATTTATTAAATAAAAAAGAAAGCTGAGACTCCAAGCTTGAATGGACCTCTTGGTTCCTTCCTTTGAATCAAAACCAGACATAACATGCAAATATGAGATTAGAACTAGACACTATGGTTGAAGTTAAGGTTACTTTTAAGATAAAGAAAAGGTGGTAGAAAAACAAACAGAAGAGGAAAAGGGATAAAATGACAAGTTGGTATTGCATATAATAAGTGGTTTCCAGCCTAACTAATTGGTTGAAATTACAAAGAGAACTGGGGTATAGAGTTTGTCTTGTTTCATGTCCATTCCTTGGTTGTAGCATGAATTATTGAAATCAATAGGGCATTCTGCAAGGTAGCTCACAAGCCCTCTACAATTTCCTTGTCGGTAAGGCTCTAATGACTGTGAGGTCAGCATACTAAGGACTGGAATGCTGATCTGATTTTCATAACAAAAATCCACCCCAATCATATCAAGCTTGCTTTTCTTGATTTCATCACTGCTATGCAATATCTTTATGTTTATGGTGTTTTTTTTCAAAATAAAAAGAAAGGGGGTAAGAGTATTTAGCAGTATATTCGAAATATTTGAAATGAATTGAGTATAATGTAATAAATAATTAGCTTTTCATATATTATCGATATAAACTTTATATTATAAATTAATGAAAATTCATCTTAAATATTGATATACTCATATAAAGGTATGAGTTATATCCTCTCATTAAATAAAAAAAATATAGATATTAAATATATGGATCAACTGGTTTGAAACTATTCATATTTAAATATTTAATTAGTAATTTTAATTTTGAATTTTGAATATTTACTTGTAATATAAACATCTAGAGAGAGAGAATTTTTTTTACCCTTTTTGATGATTTTATCTTATTAGGATTCTCTTTGGTAGAAGATTAATATAATATTAAAAATATATTTTTAAATATAATTACTTTCTATATTTTATATATAATTACAATATATAAGTGTGACACAAATAAAATTTTGCATTATATTTAGGTTTTATAGCCTTTCTACCTATGACATTCAGTTGAATTGGTATATTGTGTCGTGTACTTGAAGTATAAAATAAGCTAATGAAATTCACAAAAGTAATTACAATACAACTTTCTTGTATATTAGCTTGAATTAGCCATTCGTCCGAACCAAACCCAGAGACGTAAGTTCCAAATTTTTGCATACAAATTAAAACTTGCAACCACTCATATTTGAGATAACTTTTGATTGATGTCTTTATTGAACTAATAATTTGTGTGATTAGTGATTACGGATAACGAGGATTGGGTTCCACCATTCACGAGAATGGAAACTGTGATTTTTTTTCCTCAGACAACAAATACTGCCAAAAATTCCGTTCATACTCTATACAAAATTCGATCTCTCTAATTTAGTGCATTACTTTAAATTTCTCAATCTTCTTTTAGTACATACTTTTCTTGAAATAGCAACACTCATTATATATAGCTATTTTTCTTGATTTTTTAATTAAAGACAAAAAAATCGTTATCAAATAAAAAGATTAACGTAAAAAAATATGAATTGTAAGAGCATAAATATTTAGTCTACTATGCGTATCATTTTTTGATTATTCCGATTACTGGTATGAGTGAATCTGAGGCGCGCATGGGTTGTAGCAGGGGCATTTGGCAGAGTGTCGCATGGGACAGTGTTCATAGATGGAATTGCAGGGCACATTGATACTTCTCTTCAACAAAGAAAAATTATACCTGCACGAGGTTACCACAGTAAATTTGCTGCTTCTACTCCTAACTCCTCATCCTTCATACATCTATCGTATAGAAAGGATGAGTATTTTTAAAAAAAAATTTACTTTAACATTCAAATCAATTTTTGAAGACGAGATATTAATACTAATCAAATTTAGTAATTATAAAAATATATCTTTTTCGTCATTAATCATTTTTATTTATATTGATTTTAATAGACTTAGGCCTATAAGCAGGCTTACAACGAGATCTATTAGTGTTAATATATTAGATTGTATGAACTATTATAAAGAGTCGAGGACTCCTCAACTTGTTTTATGTTTATACAATTATGTCGAGAAGTCTTCTACCTTTTTCTTGTACTTATCTGGTATAAACAGTGTATGACCCAGTCAAGTCAAACACCATTAGCTATTCGTTCGAATCAAACTCATTCTTTCTCAGTTCATAAATAAGTTAGGATAGTAATGTGAGTCAATTTATTTAAAGTGAAATAAAATGGGTTAATTCTTTAAAAGAAATGAATTAAAAATATAACTTACTTCACTTAATGATAGATTGACGGGTTGACTCATTTTAATGAGTTGGTAAACTAAAAATAATTAATTAATAAGTTGACTCACCTTCAATTTTCATATTTTTTTAACAAAAATATGACTTGAAATACTTCAATATACATTATTAATTCAATCATATTTTATAAAATTGATTAGAAGTGTTATATTTTCATGAAAAGGGACAAAGTAATATTAATATATATATATATATATATATATATATATATATTAAAAAAGACATTATACATGAAAATGTATTAGTAAAAACATGATATTAAAATAATATACTTCCATTTAATATAATTACTTAGAAAAAGAAGTTAAACTATAAAATCAAAATAGTAATCCAACTTAAATCTACTAAAAATTTATTTTTTAAAAACATTAAAAAAAGTAGATTGACAAATTGACTCGTTAAGTTGACGAATTGAATCCATTGAGTTAACAAGTTTGACGAGACATATTGATAGATTTATTTGTTAAACCTTTCCCATCAAAATTAAATGGATCACAAGTTGATCATCAAATTTAGTCAACATTGTGATTAATAAATTCAATGTAATAAGAGTATTTTAAAAACTAGTTGAATTGAATTTTGAGCTAAACTTAATTGTGATTGATAAAAAATTACATTTACAATTTTTTTAATTAAAACATGTACTTTGAATAAAAATATAATTTTAAATTAATATTCAAATATACACTTAAAAAATTTATGGCTAATTTTTTATTTAAGCGGTCAAGCCGATCTATCTGAACTGAATATGTACATACCGGTTGGCGGGAGAGTAATTGTAATTTGTTTGTGAAGCTTTTGGTTTACAATATGTAAGCAGTAGTAGCAATGTCAAATAAAAGATGGTCGCTCTAATAATATTTACTTTTTAATACAATTTTATCAAAATAATGTACACTTTTTAATGAATGCATTGATTTTAATTATGGTGGTTATGAAAGAATAAATTAAAAAATAATTAATATTATATTGAAGAGTGAAAATATAAATCATTTTATGAATAATTTGTAAATACTAAAGCAACATTTAATTTCGAATATAAGAGTAATATTCTCACTTTATAACTCTCTTCTTAATACTTTTTTATTATTTATTAAAGTTATAAATTTTGGTAGTTTTATTATTAAATCAGGAAAAATATTTATTAAATAAGATATAAGACTTACAAAATTTGAAAATTTTAATAAATTATAATCAATAATAAAATGTGTTAGTAAATGAGTGTAAAAGAAAATATCACAAACACTCCTTTAATATTGTTTAGAAAGTTGGTATCATGTTGCATTATTAAAGAAGATTAACAATAATGTTAGTTAATTCTTATATTATTTCACATATTTATTAACGGTCAAAGTAGTCCTAAAATAATTAAATAAAATGAAAATTAATCCTTATAGTTATAAATTATAAGAATTTAATCTCTGAAATTATAATAATCAACCAAATTGAATCTTAAAATAAGGTTTAATTACATTTTTCTCCTTATTTTTAATTACACTATTGGACCACAATTCTACAATTAATAAAATTAGTTATTCTATTTGTATTTTAAGAACGGCCCATTCTGCTTTCAGAACGGCCTGTTCTGCAAGCAGTACGGCCCGTTCTGCAAGCAGTACAGGCCGTTCTGCTTGCAGAACGGGTCATTTTGGGGCCGTCAAGAGTCACCATGAGAGAAAGTTTCACCTTAGGAACCCTACTAGGTTTTCCTCCTCTTTGAAGTGAGCTTTCCCTTGCACCTTAAGCTTGGATGCTTCCATCCAAGGCTTAAGCCTCTTCCATCCGTGATACTTCCTCCATCTAGTGTTCATCTTTGTGGTTTCCATCTCCTTAAAGAAGATCCGAGCAAAGGAGAAGCTAAGGAGAAGTCATCTACCACTCCTCCTAGTCTTTTCCATCAAGATGTGAACTTCTTAGGTTTTATAGTTGACAAAGAAGGGGTTAAGGTTGACCCCAAAAAAGTTAAGGCCATTCAAGAGTGGCCTACCCCTAAGAATGTGGGAGACA